CTTAAGATACAGAAGGATCTTGACAAACTTGAACATTGGGCACTATCTAAGAAATATAAATATATTTGTTGTTGTTAGTTGCAAAGTAGTATCTGACTCATCACAACCCCTTGGAGACTGTTCCCCCAAGCCTTCCTGTCCTCTACCATCCTCTGGAGTCCATTGAAGCTCACACGGGCTGCTTCAGTGACTCCATCCAGCCACCTCATTCTCTGTTGTCCCCTTCTTCTTCTTTTGCCCTCAATCGTTCCCAGCATGAGGCTCTTCTCCGGGGAGTCCTTCCTTCTCATCAGGTGGCCAAAGTATTTGAGTTTCCTCTTCAGGATCTGGCCTTCTAAACAGCAGTCAGTGTTGATTCTCCTCTAGGACTGACCAGTTTGATCACCTTGCAGTCCAAGGGACTCGCAGGAGTCTTCTCCAGCACCAGAGTTCAAAGGCCTCCATTCTTTGGCACTCAGCCTTTCTTATGGTCACAGCTATACATTGCAACTGGAAAAGCCATAGCACTTTTGTTGGTAGGGTGATGTCTCTGTTTTTTAGTATGCTGTCTAGATTTGCCGTAGTTTTGCTCCTCAGGAGCAAGCCTCTTTTACTTTCTTCAGGGCCACCCAAGATGGACAGGTCATAGCAGAGAAAACATGATCCACTGGAGAAGGAAATGGCAACCCACTCCACTATCTTTGCCATGAAAACCCCATGGACAGTACCAAAAACTCCTTTAAAAGTTGCCAGTAATTTGTTATGTTTAATGTGACTGGAGAGGGAAACCACTGAGAATTCTTGCAGAGAAATAACATAAAATTCATATTTCGCATGAAGTTCTAAAGGCAAAGGTGGACTTAGCCCCAAAAGGTGATGCAACCTTCTGTTATATCAGTGGGTCCCATTTCAATTTTGCTGGGTGTGATGCATACCAGGCCTCTTGGATGATTCAGTGTCCTATACTTTTGTATGCTCTAGGGGCAAACATGGGCATGTTGGAACTTTTATTGAACTTCGCTGAATCTCCAACGTGTGGGACGGATTACAATCAACCTCCACATGAACCGAGACTATTCTGCACTGTTGCAGAATCTTTAATGATGGGCTTTTCAGGATGTCTCCTTTCCTCAGCTGTCATCTCCCCTCTCCCCTCCTCCAATGCTGTCATTTTCACTGGCTTTGTTATGATGACCTTTGCATGCCTGTTTGGAGACAACGTGGTATTTGATTGTCCTGTGGCAACTGGAACAGGATATTAAAATTTCTCCATCGACATTTGGAATTGGCCTCGTCCTTTCATTTCGCATTACAAAATGCCAGAGAATCATATGCACAGCTACCAAGTGTGCTATTTACTTAGATCCGGGGCAAGGGATGAAGAGGAAGAGGCAGGGGAGCGCATACCAGTTGGTCAAAGCTATTCATCCCGTCATTTTCTAAATAAAGCAGATTAGTCTCCTTTACCGCATTGGTTTGTTTCAGATCTAAGGAAAAGATTCTGAGAGTTGTACTTCAGAGCATCTGTAGCGCACTAAGGTAAAGCATTGTACAGCACCTGTATAATGTTAGTTAAATCTTTTGGATAAATAAGGGCCAACAAGTTTAAAGACTTGTTTTAAAACCCCAAGATTACCAAAAGGTTTGCTTTCCCTTCCTCCCCCCACCCCCTCCCCTACTCCCTGTCAAGTTTGACTTGCAAACTGTTAGGATGTATTTATTATATCCAATAGGCTTCTCGTACCTAGAGCAGTAAATCACGACTCTTCAGACCAGGGCTGGGTTCCGGCTGCTGCTACTGCCAGTTTGCTCAGGGACGCGCTGCGCACGAACTTGATGCCACCTGTGTGCACATGCACAATTCTTTAAAAAACAAGATGAACTGAGAGAACCGGTTCGGGGGCGTGGCAGGCCTGGGTCACTGCTGGTTCCAGCAACCCAGCCCACCAGGTTACCACCTATTGGGCCGAACCGGTCCGAACTAGTAGGAACCCAGCTTTGCTTCTGACTCTTACAGAATGTCTGTATTCAGGAAACTGCTTATAGCACTGATGGCTAAGCTTTTTACCATTGAGTGCCAGAAGCGGGGGGAGCACGATGGGGGGTTGGGTGCATGTGTGTCTACACTCATAATTCTATGTGCCTGTCCCGTGCACATGTGCGTGCTCCCCCCATGTTCCCCCCGCTTTTGGCATGCGATGGCATGGTGGACCCGTTTTTCGCCCTTCCTAGGCTCCAGAGCCTTTCTAGGAGCCTGGCAAGGGCAAAAATAGCCTTCCCCCACCCCTGAGGCTGAAAACAGCCTGTTTCCTGACTTATAGAGGGCCCGAAGAAGGCCCGAAAATCAGCTCAGCCAGAGCTGAGCTCACGTGCCCACCAATATGTGCCAATATGTGCTCACGTGCCCACCAATATGTGCTCACTATCATGGGCTTATAGCAAGAGATTGGGGATAGCCGCCCAGAGTCCCTAGGGAGTGGGCGGCATACAAATTTTATTAAATTGGAAATTTATTAAATTGGATATGACAGCCCTAGATTAATTCCTTCAATGGAGACAGGAAGAAAACCATTTACACATAGTTTATGGCAGTCCACCAAAATCAATATCTTCATCCGCTGCACACTAAATAAATATCTCCATCTCTATCTCTCTATCTAATCTGTGCCTATATATCTGTACCAGTGGATGGTGAACCTATGACATGTGTGTCCAAAGTGACACCCCATGTCATTTTGCGTGACATTCCAGGGTTCACCAACATCCGACCACAATTCTTCTCCCTGTTGGAATTACCAAAGAAACTGAATGAATACAAACACAAGAAATATCTTTGGGCACTACCCAAAGATCATTTCAAATGGATTCTCCCCATCCATGCCAGCATTTGTCATCTTCAAAGGCGTGATTGATGGTAACACAAAAAAGAGCGCAGCTTGCAAAAGGCAATGGCAACATGGCAGCTGCACAGTTCCCTTGTTTGCCAACTGCTGCATGGGGTGGTTGTTTGCACAGCAAAGATCATTTTTGAGGAGCAAGCGCAGAGAATATCTGCAACCAAAGTCTGCAAAATGATAATACTATCAGCAATTGTGTGTAATCAACTTTGTGTCAACCAGATGTGCATTGGATTAGGAATGAATATGTAAAGAGTTCCGTCACTTTTGTTCAGGATGTATATGTGTATATAAGAGAGACATGCCTGTAGGGTCAAGTTAGGCATTTTCCAAATTTTTGACATGCCAAGCCCAAAAGATTCACCATCACATTGCCATATATATGCATGATTTAAATTGTAGGCGTTTACTTCCTGCAGAAAAGACAGTAGAAAATTGGCTGTTCTCTTCACAGCCTTGAGAATGGGAAGGAGATGCTTAAGGTTCACATTATGCTTCTCCCTGGCGTGAGAACTACAAATTCCTGCCCCACGAACTTCATTCTTTTCGGTATTGGCAACCAGCAAAGAGAAAGGGCTTTGTTTAAAAATGTGTGAGACGCTTGTGAAGTTGTCCCTGGGCAAGTCCTTTTCATTCCATGGCTTTGTTTCTTTCAACAGGACTTGATCAACGCCACCCAGCTTTGCTGCTAGGGCTGATCCTGCCCAAAAGGACTAGTCCGGACATTCTAAAGACAAGTCATGATCTTCCACCTAAAGCCAAGAGAAAGAGGGTCACTTCTAAGGTCAGTCTGGAAAACAGTCGCTTCACTGTCCCTTCACATTTACAGGCAGATGTTGGTCAGGAACAGACCCCACAGCCTCTGTGCACAGGGGAGCTTTCCTCAAGCCTTCCAGAGCAAGAGGAGCTGACAGTTGATGGTCTTCTCGGTCTCATAGAACAGCTCAAAAGAGACATACTGTGTAGAGTGCCTTCCGCTTCTTGCCCCCAAGATGCAAGAGATGAAGTCCATCAAACTCCTTTGGGCGATACTTTCCATTCAACAGCAGATTCTGCTTCAACTGGAGAACAATTGGGCAATTTAACCCTGGGAACTTGGGGATCACGGCCATGTCCGAGTGGGGAAGAGATACAGTTTTTTATCGATCCAGATCTATCGGATTTCTGTAGCCTGCATGGGCCTCTTTTACCTTCTGGGGTTTTACATCCAGATCAACATGGAACTCCTATGGCCTTACCCTATGGAGCACAAGGGATAAACACCTTTGGGAATCCACTTCCACCGAGTGTCCTTTGTGCTGAAGCCGTGACCCCTGTGGAAGAATGTCAGGCTCAACTTCCACCCCAGATTCCTTATGCCAACACGATTGGAGCGCATAACCCATCTGTGCAGGAAACCTTAGGTCTTCTCCAATATGTGACACAGATGCAGTCCAGCATTCAAAATCTGGAAGCTCAACCATGTAGTCTCCTTACACAGGAAATGATCTCTGCATTGTCTCAGATTCCAGCTGGGTTAGAGTCGTTTCCAGTCCAGCAAGACGGTGGATACTACATAGGACCAACCTGAGATGCTTGGGAGGGTGACAGGTATGATGGTGGTGGCTCAAACCTGCAAAATAGAGGACAACTCCTCTTTGAGAGCAAACAGGGTAGAAATAAGGGTAGAATAAGCTGCAGGTGAAGGAGGTTTCATTACTTTTTCTTAACCTGCTTGCATATTTATTCCTTATAATTCTAAGAGACTGGGGTACATTTAGGTTTCAATTGTGCGTTGATTGGGGTTTAAAAGTTTATTTAGATCAGCGTTTCTCAGTCTTGGTGACTTTCCCAGCCAGCAGGGAATTCTGGGAGTTAAAGGTCCACACACCTTAAAGTTACCAAGATTGAAAAACACTGAGTTGGATACGGTAAATTACCCGAATCCTAGTATCTCTATCTCATACCCTGGTTGTGACAAACAGGTAGCCAATTGGCTCACCAGAAACCATTGTAAACTCATGACTTAAAATGAGCATTTTCCATGAAGTTCATGGGAATTGGCATTGGGTAATTTCCAGGGCAAAAAAGAGATGGATAGTTTTATGGTTTTATGTTATATGCTGATGATTTTGAATATGTATGTTGGGCAAGAGGCAGATTCCATGAGGAGAATGAGAATTGCATTGGGGGTTGAAGTTATTGTCTGAATAAAAGACAACTGTTCCTGACGTTTATTTCCATGTTAAGAAACAATTCAAAAGTGTTTTTTAAAATAAATAAATAAATAAATAAATAAATAAATAAATAAATAAATAAATGTTTTATTATGTGTTAAATGTTTTGTAAGATTATGGGGTTTTGAGTTTCTTTTTAAAATCTTTTTTTCAAAACCTGTGCTGAGGTAAAGAAAAAGTTGGAATGGCTGTTTTCTGAATGGAATCTCAGAGTTGTAAGGGGGATGTGTGTGTGGACTTCAGTTCCCAGAATTCCCCAGAAAGCATGCTGGCAGTTGCAGTCCACATCTAAAGTTGCCAAGACTGAGAAACACTGGTGTGGTCCAAGTCCCTTCTCATAGTAGGATACATCAGAACACGGTCCCCAACCTTTTGGGTGCCAGGGACTGGTTCCATGGAGAGAGTTTTCCCACGGACCAGAGGGTCTCACAACACTGCCTGCATCCCGTGAATGGGGCTTCACTTGTTTGCGTGGTCCGGCTTCTGGCATGCCCTGGCCTGGTGCCGGTCCACCTACCAGTGGTTGGGGACCCCTGCATTAGAACAATGTTTCTCAATTGTGGCCACTTTAAGATGGCTGGACTGTAACTCCAAATATGCTGACTGAGGCATTGAAGTCCACACATCTTAAAGATGCTAAGAGTGAGATACACACTGCAACAGACCATCTCTGAAACAGAGGCCTGTTCAGCCTCTGTTTGAAGACTTCTACTTGGATGCTACTATTGTTAAGGAAATGCTAAATAATTGCACCAGGAAAAATTTCTCACATTCAGTCTCCTGTTTAGAAGCATGATACTCTACTTCATGGTGGCTCAGTGGCTAAGACGCTGAGCTTGTCGATCAGAAAGGTCAACAGTTTGGCAGTTTGAATGCCGCCAAAGTGCTACGTAAAGGAGTGAGCTCCCATTACTTGTCCCAGCTTCTGCCATCCTAGCAGTTCGAAAACAGGTAAAAATGTGAGTAGAAAAATAGGGACCACCTTTGGTGGGAAGGTATCAGCGTTCCGTGCGCCTTGGCATTGAGTCATGCTGGCCACATGACCATGGAGACGTCTTTGGACAGCGCTGGCTCTTCGGCTTTGAAATGGAGATGAGCACTGCCCGCTAGAGTTGGGAACGACAAGCACATGTATGTGAGGGGAACGTTTACCTTTACCTTT